ATTCTCCTCTAGATTTCTCAGTATGGGTCCACTCTGAACCAGTTCTTCAGGAAGAATAAAAGTGAACAGAAATATATTTCCTTCTCCTTTTATTTTGAAGGCCAATCTCATTTCAGTTAGAAAAGAATGTTGGAGAAGTTACTCTGAAAAAGAGGACAATTGATTTGGATTATGGGTGATAAAATATATTTCCTGACAATGTGTATCTGTTCATAAATATACTTACAACAGTTGGCCTTAAAAACATTCTGAAGCGCTTTACAAAAATGCATTCTTAAGTATTTAAGACATCTCAGTAGGACCTGCACCCCTTATGAAACTTTTGATATTCCTTATAAATATTCATCATTTAGGTACAAGCGTTTCATTATATGGAAATGCTACCACAAGTATTTTCAAGGTCGAAGTGTCAGTGAGGTGCTTGTTTCATTGGCTAACAAACAGGCCAAAAGTCTCTACAAAATGAAAAAGATGTCTAAGTCTGCAACCTATATGTTGTTTTTGGTTGGTAGTTTGTGTAGGACACACACAAAGAAAATGTTCATGTACTTAAGACCCAGAAAATCTGAGTTAAAAGTGTCTTAAAATATACAGAATTTTCTTATTTTGCTATTCTGTTCACAGATTTCATTTGGTTTTTTTCTGAAAGACTTTTATTTCTAATGTCTTAACTCATTTGTTCAGAAAATATTTGAGGGCCTAGATTGTGTAAGACTCTGCAGTATTGCTACAGAGAATCACAATGCATCAAAATAAAGTACAAAGGTGAAGAAAAACTTGATAAATGACAAAGAATTTTCCTATTTGAGTTTGTTTTGCCTCTTAAAATTTTGTATCTACTCATTTTTACTAATTATCTACTTGCTATGAGTAAACAGTATAACTGCATAAGCTTAAGTTAATGAAAATGGAAACATTACTTATTTCTTCTAAATTAAGACATTTTCTGAAGTCAATTTGTCTTTTTTTAATGACTTTAAAATGAGAATTCTTATCCTCTTCCTCCCCAGAATGTATCTTGCTCCTTCTCAAAATAGTATTTTAACCCTTTGCATGTATTAATGGCCTTATAGTGTTTAGTTCCTTTTTAGAATCCTAAATTCCAAAACTGGAACTGTTCTATGGTATTTTTTTCAAGTTTGAGTAGTAAAGGCCTTTTTGGTTATACTCTAAACCCTAGAGACAAGAATTGGTCCTTTTAACCTGCTTCTTGAAGCCATCCCAGCATGTTACTGGTGCTTTGGATCCCTGTTCTTTCTGACCCAAAGATTTTGCGTCTCACTGCTTTTTCCAGAGTCTGGCTCTGGAGATGACCACTGGTGCTTTCTTGCTAATATGACAACATGAACCACCAGATCACTGGGTTTTAAATACATGAGTATGCTGTTGTAACAACCAAGTTGTGTGTGGGCTTGCTGTTGCCCTCAAAGACCTCATTAAGAGTTGATGCCCTTTCTGTTGATTAGTAGCAATTAAGGTTATTTCTTATGGGATGAGAGGCTAGACAACTGTACTCATGCTCTTACTGTCTCCTACAGGGTCCTACCCAGAGATTCTACCCAGTGAAACTCCCACAGCAACGCAGGTAGATGGGGCTGACCTGGCCTCTCCAATGTCTCCTCGAACTAGCAAAAGCCGCATGTCCATGAAGCTGCGTCGTTCCTCTGGCTCAGCCAATAAATCCTAAGGAGACAAGCAGCCCACCATTGATCAGCAGTAGACACCTTAGCACGAGCATTGTGTTAACCCTTTCATGTCTGCCCTAACATGCATGTTCTTTTCTGTACATTTATTTGAGAAAACACTGGATTTAAGTCATTTGTAACTTAATATTTTAGATTTGGGTTATTTATTTGATTTGTCATCCCCCCCCCCCATTCCACACCCCACACTCCAAGCTGCCATATTTTGAGGGGGTAGAGTTTTATTCAACACCCTTTACTTTCCTAGATAATTATGTCTAAGTAGTTTTATCTTTAAGTTCATGATTAACTTGGAGCCAAAACATAATTGGACAAATAGTGTCTTTATTTATTGTGCCCCATTGCACCTGTATGGCACAATAAATAATGTTATTTTTTTTTACAAATGTAGAATTTTTAATTTAAGCATTTGTAAAATTATAGCAAAAGTTGCAAATCTGTTAATACACAGGATGTATACAAATGATTTATGTTAAAAAAAATAAAACATTAAAAATAAATGGTCTTTTAGCATCTCAGATTCCAGCTGAAATAATTTTAGCATTAACGTTTCTTCCCAAAGTGATGTCTCATTTCTTGGCTGCACAGGTGAGGCCTTGACATACCCGGTAACTAGAAAAATCACTGAACTGAACTTGGATTCATTTTTAGCTTCCAAATATTTTTCTCATATTTTGCTTTTTAAATGATATCACTGTTAAATGCCATTTCTGTTTTGAGATTGTAGCCCTTTATTATAGGCTGCTAGATCCTAATGTATTTGTTCTTTCTTTAGTACCAAAATGAAGGGGGTGGGGGGAGAGGAAAAAAAAGAAAAGAAATTTCTGATAAAAATATGTTGCTCAAATTATGTGTATTAGAAAAGGGAACATGACCGTCTAAATTAAATCTAATATCATTAATACTGAACTTGCAGGTGCCAGTTGGTATACATTCCACCCTCCAAAAGTATTGTCATAAAATGAATAAGCTGCTCACATTTTGTTTCAAATGGGCAGGCATCTCCTAAGGAAATGTAGCATGACATTGGTACTAACTGCATGTGTAAATACATCATACTGGCAAACCATAAAATATAAATTATGTATCATCATTCATGTAGTATCTACAAATTTGTAACAGTGGGAAAAAAGATGACATGGTATTTAATAATACAATAAAAATATTCTTATCACTTCCTGTTCATGAATGTTGATTTTCTATATTTCATATATTTTCTAACTTAACAAGCAGGGCTATATGATGAGTGGGGAGATATAAAGCATAACCTAGTTTATCTTAGCCAGTCATGACTAGTAAATTTAAATTCTCCTTTCAGGGTACATTCCAACTTATTAAATCCTACAACAGTCATTAAAACACAGGAAATGTTTATGTCTTCATAAAGACTGGGTAAAAACCACCCAGTGCACTCAGGTAAAGCACTAATTTAGCTCAGCCTCATGCTTATTTGATTTCTTAAATTTCACTTTCCTTTACAATTTCAGGAATAAAACTTTCCGCCAACAAGTTTTTCTTTAAAAATTTTTTTCAAAGTTTCTGTGCACTTAATTTTTTTTCTTATAAATAAAAACTAAAGTTCCCATCAAAGCTTATGTAGAAGAAAAATTAATGAATAAAGAGAGTTTCTGGGAACAAGATTCAGTGGTATAGACAGTGTCCCACAGCCAAGGTGAAGAATTACAAAAAGGAAAAAGGTAACTGCTTGCACATTTCTAAAGTGCTTTCATTTTTAAAGAACATCTAATCAAGTGACAGTAGGTGGGTAACAAGATAGAGGGAAAATACCACTGAAATAGTGAAGTAGCACCGTTAACATGATTGTTTTTCCTTTTCAGATAACACTATTCAGTAGCTTTTTAAA